TCACTCCCTCTAGGAGCGAAGGACCTGCCGCTGAACTGCCGCCGCCGATCGCAGCTTTTTTTTTTTGGTTGGGGCGTCAGAAATGCTGGAGCCAGCCCTGCACTCACCCCAGCTTCTGCACTATGGGAACCATATGGAATTAATTTTTTAAATCCATTCTTATATAAGTCAAATCGTTGCCTTCCCCCCCCTCCACTTTTGTTCCTGTTGTTTCCACCTAAACAATTTACTCTCAGGTATTTTTCCAATAACCTGTTTTGTTTATGGTAACACAAAAAGATCTTTCTGTTACTTAGGATATGTCTACACTGCAAATGAAGTTGTGATTGCAGCATGGCTAGGCCATACCTGTGCTAACTTGGATTCTAGCTAGCATGGGTAACAGCAGTATTGAAGGCGTAGTGGTGCAGAATTCAGCATAGGCTAGCAGCTCCCATTTCCTGCCTTGTGTGCTGAAATCTATAACCTTAATGCTGGATTAACAGGATTTTTTTAAATTTAATAATAGCTGTTTTACTTCATTTATTTGACTTTAATAACACACTTCCTCAAATGAGCTGTTAAAATAGTTCTATGTATTTTTCTTTCCTCTGTTCATGTGACCCAGGAGGCATTGTCAGCAAAACATGTCTGTTTGGTGAGATTCAATAATAGAGCTGGGTGGGGAACCAGATTTTTTCCTTTTCTTTCTTTTTTTGGGGGGCGGGGGTGAGAATTCCACGATTTTGATTTCTACTCCAAAATGGAACACAACCAGGGCCGGCTCAGACTTTTTTCCCAAAGTGGCGAAGGGGGGGGGAAAAAACGCGATCGGCGGCACTTCGGCGGCAGCTCAACCGCGCCACTTCATTCCTCGGCGGTAATTTGGCAGCAGGTCCTTCGCTCCAGGAGGGACTGAGGGACTTGCTGCCGAAGACCTGGACGTGCCGCCCCTTCCCATTGGCCGCCCCAAGCACCTGCTTCATTCACTGGTGCCTGGAGCCGGCCCTGATCACAATCAAAACATTTAGAAATTTCCCACAAATGAAAACTCTGAAAAAATGTAGTTTTGGGAGAATCTAAGAACTTAGTTCTGATTTCGACATTTTATATTTTAAAGTGTTTTTAGTATAAAAACAATGAATTTTGTTTGAAAAAATTCTTTCAAAATGAAAAATTGAAATGGTTTGTTCCAAAAATGTTGAAATGGCTTTTTCAGCATGATCAAAAATGCTTCATTTAATTTTTTTCAAAACAAAATGTAGTTGAAATCACCGCATTTTTCAAAACATTTGGACTTTGATGAAAGTGGAATTTTCCTAAAACAACAACAAAAACCCTGACAAAAAAGATCACCATTTCTGTTCAAGAAGGTATTTAAAAGTTGGCTAAGATTCCTTGCATTGTAGAATTATTTAACATTAAATTAAAAAAAAAAGTTACATAATTAAAAAAAAATCTGCCTAAATGAGCCTGTCTTCCTGAATTTGGAACTAAATTTAAAAGAATCAGTCATAACACTTTGCATTTCAACAATACCCCTCAAGTAGGCATCAGGGTGTTTTACAAATATTAAAAAAACCTCAGACCATAATTAAGGAATGCTTTAATGAAAGTGCCTAACTTCCTGTTGACTTCAATGGGATGTAAGTACATGCTTATATGTGCTTAAGTGCTTTCCTGAATAGGGATGTTTTCCTGACTTAGGGCCTAAGTCATAACAACACTGTGAAGTAGCAATATCCCCATTTTATAGAGACTTCCCGTCTCCACTGTCAATTTTCATCTTTTCATGCAGGATCGGATATATGAATTGAATGTGGAAGTAGAGTGCAGCAGAAACAAAGCTTAACCCTACAAGGTTCTATATATTATTTTAACTAAAGTTTATGGAAGCCCATTAGGGATGGGGTCTTACATGATCCTAAACAAGAATGGGTTTGGAACACAATCTTGGTGGGAGGTTTGATTGTAACTTCCTCAGTTGGGGAGGCAGGATCACACAGAAACACTGCATTGGTGTGCATTTCAAGTCACCATGTAAACATTAACCAAACCACTTCTTCCTCTCTCCATATAACACACCATTTGCTCACGAGGCATGTGACTAATACAATTTATACCCACAAGCTTTTAAAAATGCCCTTTGAGACTAGTTGCTTGCACCCACATTATGATGAAGTAACCTTATTTTAGCTCATCATCTGCCATGATAATCTCCCTGGAATAGAGCTCTGGGAGAAGAAATCTCCAGGAGAATCTCTCCCTTCCTCCATTCCCTCCACACACACACCCCCGCCCCAGCATCTTGTTTGCAAGCATGGAATTTGCTTCCCCACCAAAGAGTTTGTGGGCTCCACCCCAAAGCTGCTGGATCCCCAGGAATCTGTGGAGGCTGAGAACACCCGTGAGGAGGCCTTGTGTGGCCTCATGGGCCCCAGTAGCCTTTCCCCAGCCGGTTTCTTGGCAACTCTTTTCTACTGGAACCACCCCATGGCATTTGGAACTACTGACATGGCATCTATGAAGAACTGTTTGTGCCTGTGTCATTGTTCATCATTATATATCTTAGAGAGATTAATTACTTCACTTACCACTAAAATGCAGCCACCTCTATGGAGGGAATGCAGGAGCATGACAAGAAGTGAAGAATAGGAGCAATTGAAGCCAATAGGAGCAAATTGAAGAATAGGAGCAATTTTAGGTAGGCAGAACTGAATGGTCAGTTTTATTCAGGATACCAGAGTTCATGCCCTTACCCTTGTGAAAAATGCCAAGAAAATTTTATTGTCTACCAAGTCATCAGGATTTTCATTTTAAAATCTAATCTGAATGAAAGCAGCATAGTGTTTCCCTCCTCCCCTTAATTCCATGTAGGAGATTAACTCAATATTGACTTTGAGGGGAGAGTCTCACCTCCTGAAGCAACAAAACCATTTTTACTGCACTGCTGGCTTTCTTTTAAGGTCTGTCAAGCTATTGATCTGGCAGGTTTGACCCTACTTGGCTTGTGAGATTGGAAAAACTCAGAGCCCAGTATAGTATACTTGCTGCAGACAAATTAGTTATGTATTATCATCTCATAATAACTGATCTTAGTAACTAAATGCAATATATTATAATTGTTTACACAAGCCAAAAAGTGTGAGTCATTCTCAGTCAAGTAGAGCCACCTAGTGGTAAAAGATGAGACTAAATTTTTTTTTCTTACGCTGACTGACCTTTCTTTTTGACAGCTCACAAACAACGGATTTTTCAACATGCTCATATTAACACCTTGGGAAATGGCAATTAAAATTTGATCAACTAACAAAATTCTGTTTGCTCCATCTCTCTCTGGCTGGCTGTCTCTCTCACACATAGGCTTTTTACTGTAGGGTTTTCTGCGGGTGCAAAGCTACAAGTAGACACTTTTTTTAAGGTAAAAGAACATTGAGGCATTTGTCTGAAGAGAAATCAAAGTCCATAATAAATAATTAAATAAATCAACGTTAGAAGTAGACAAAGAAGAAAAAAAGTAGGTCACATTTTCAAATTACTAATGTTGATAATGTTTCTTTGAGTAATACAATGGTAGAATTAAAAGTACCTTGTGAAGACATTTGATTCCTTTTCTTCTTCTTTTACAGTAGGTAAACATTCACCATCAGCTAAGAAGAGAAAAGATAACCACACTGTTACCTTTGGTAATTCTTTCAGACATTTCAAAATTGTGTTCACTTTCAGAGTAGTGACTGCAAACCAGAAAACTCCAGGGTACAAGTATAGTTCTTTTTATCTGTAATATTTGCACATTTATATGTTTTGTTTAATATAATTATCAGCTATTTTAAAGTGTCCTACCCTTGTGACTGTAGTGGAAGACCTGGTAACCTTTATGATATTTATTTCAGTTGTTTGTGTGTATATGTATGTATACACATAGAAAGTGCTTTTCCTCGTTCACATGCATCTTTGCAATAAACTCAGACTACAAGGGTTATTTATTAGCTATTCACAGTACAACTGTTTACAATCACATCTGTTATTTCACAAGATTAGTACAGCCAGAAGTTTGGGGTATTTTTGTATGTGGTGCTGCTGCTGAAGAAATACATGAAATGTTTGCTGACTTAAAAAAATTGTTAACATCTTTTTACAATAAATATTTCCCCATCTACTGTATTTAAAGCCATTGACATAGTATTGTTATTATTTAATGTTTATATTGTGGTAATGTCTACAGACTAACAAGGTGAAAGGACCATCCTGCTAAACACTGTACAAACCTACAGGAAATGATAGGTGTCTACCAAAAGAGCTTACCATCTGAAAGACAAGATATAATAAGAGGATGAAGCAAACAAGCATTTTGGGGCATGGGTCAAGGGATGGGCAACAAAAATATTAGAATATGTGCAATTCTGAGCCAGTCTGGAGCAGTAATCACAATGTGCCATCTGTGTAGCTGAAATCAGGTTGCAGTTAACTCTGTGCATTAAGGAAGAGGTGAGTTTTGAGAACTGACTTGAAGGCGGCGTTTGAGAATTTTGACTGGGAGCTCTTCCCATGCACCAGGGGCAGCCTGGGAGAAAGCACAGAGGTGCTTCAGGGAGAAGTGGATCACTGAGAAATTAATGGTGGAGGCTCACAGCTTGATAAGCAGTATTTCTGACAGATAAGGTGAATCTAAATGGTGAAGGGCATAAAAGGCAAAAAGAAGGAGCTTGTGTTTGATGCAGTAGAGGATAAGGAGCCAGTGGAAGGGATGCAAAGGGAAGTGATGTAGTCATAGTGATGAGCCAGGAAGATGATCCTGGCAGCAGTGTAATAAGTAAATAGTGCTATGGGCTATGAGTAAACAGTGATTTCTCTTAGAATGGCACAATATGCAGCACACTAATGCAGACACACTGAATACTGAGAGAGCCAGATCTTTTAAAGAGACAATTATGTACCCCTAAAAAGCAATTTTTATTTAAAAATATAAATACAGTATACGTGTTTAATAAAAGCTTCTACTGAAAACTGAAACCTTTATGGTACTATATCTATAGTATCCCATCATTTGATAAAAATAAGCACCCACCCAGCCTAAAATACTCCTGATATTTGCTTGTGCAACTATTCTAGTATTGTAGGCTTAAGATCAGGACTAAAAATGTTTTAGGAAAAGTAGCAACACAAATATAAAATAGCTCTGTGGTATTTTTTCTATTCATGGGGCTACCTCAGACACAGAGAGAGAAATGATTGGAGGGTTACCAGTACCATTTTTGTTCATGCTATTCATCCATTTATCGAGCTCTTCCATTTCTATTTCCATAACAGAGGGTGTGTCTTCTTCAAAAATAGGACTTGATCCAGGAAACAAAAGATGGGTTAGACAACGTGTTTCACTCAAATAGACATGTAACATAGCAGCATTATATCAATCTTGTATAATTCTGGGCCGTAATTGTGGGACACCAATGCTGTTCTAGTGAGTTTACTTTTTGAAGATGTGTCAGTTCAACAGGTAAGAAACAAATAATCATGGCCCACAAATGGAATAAATGGGTATCTTAACTACACACTGTAGATAGAAAATTAGAAAATAAAGGGTCTGATTCCACCCCATTGAAATCCATGGTGAAACTCCCATTGCTTCAATGGTAGCAAGATAGAGCCCTAAGTTAGAAATGCTATTTCAACCAGGAGGTTGGTTTCAGCAATGACCTAAAAAGAAAAGGTCATAACTATACTAACTACATGTTACTAATTTTACTCTTTCCTTTACTGATCATTTTTAGAAACAGCCTCATGGTTGAAAGACTATTGCTAACTTTATTTTGTATTTTTAACATGAATTAAAGCAGTGGTTCAGGGTCGGGATCCTGTTTTAATGGGGTCATCAGGGCTGGCTCAGATTTGCTGGGGCCTGGACAGCAGGGCTGAAGTTACACCTTGCCAACCTGAGACTGAAGCCCTTGGCCTTCTGCTTTGCCCCCCACCCAGGGCAGCGGAGCTCAGGCGGATATAGGCTTCGGTCCCCACTCCTGAGGTTGTGTAGTAATTTTTGTTGTCAGGAGGGGGTCGTGGGGCAATGAAATTTGAGAACCCCTGAATTAAAGGGAATCTCTCCCCCCTAAATCCATTTTAATAATTTTCAGCACTTACCATGAGGAAGGAGCTCAGTAAAATAAATAATAAGGTAACAACTATCAAATGGTTGAGAACTATTCTGCAGCCTGCTTGTTTTTATTGGACATGGGTTATTCAGGTCACACAAGCTCCAGAGAATCTTTACATGCCATGTAATAATGAGCAAGCAAATTTGAAAAATAATTGAACATGACATAAAGCTTATTCTGGGCAGATAGAATTTATGGACAGAGCCAGGAAGCCTGTCCCTGTTACCCAAAGTATAGTTGTATCCTGTGATATCCACATTTAGAGTAAGAGAACCGATGGTGGCTCGTGCCCAAAACTAGTGGTGGGGCTGTAGACAGCAGGCTGGATCAAAGGCCTTATGGCACCTATGTCATACTCCACCTGTGTGGCTGAAATAATCCCAACAGAAGCCTGTATTCCCTGCTCGGTGCCATCTCCCTCTGCTACCTGCAGTCTATATGCTGAAGGATCAGAAGTCCCACAGTGACAGCCAGATGTACTATAATCACCAGAGGAGCCTGCAAATGTTAGCAGGAGGTAATGCACCCTACAATATATCAACCACAAAATACAACAGTGGTAATTATTTGATGGGACTTGGGGTCCTTTAGCCTCCTCTAGGGTTAATGAATGAGAAAGGGTAAGAGTGTTGAAAGTACAAAATATAGACTCCTCAAGACGTGCAGGACATACAGTAAGTTTAAAACCACAACAATAAGGCCCTAAAAATTAACATGGTCTACTTTAGGAAATAAGCTAGAACAATAAGCAATATCTATAAATGTTACCTTTTGACATTTTCACTTCCCAGTTCATCTGAAATAAAATAAGTTAAAAAGTTGAATGTATAGTTAACTTGTCTTTAACTAACTATCCATTTTCTCTTAATGTGATATCCCAAATAGCTGGGAAAATTCTGCAGTAGGTTTATTTTAAACACGGAACAGTTTTCATATATACCTGGTTATCCTTTAGATTAAAACTAAAATGCTTTATACGTTTTCTTCCATTAACCATGTAGTCTGTAGTTTATGTAGGTGCTGATTGCTTTTAATCAGTCGTTTTCTCTAATGTACTAAAAGAAGCTGACCACCAGCCACTCTTGCTGGTTATTCATATACATGAAATGATGGGGGGGGAGCACCAGCTACAGGGGAGGACACGTGATCTCCCCATGTGACTCCCACCAGCCCAGGGCCCCCATGCTCTCCCCGTCCCCTCCCCACTGCACGTTACTGGGAGGGCGGGGGGGACTCTATCCTCCTGAGGCGCCCGCTCCCCCCTGGCATGTTTGGCTGCTCTCTCTAGCAGCCAGGCCCTGGAGCCACTCCCAGATGTTGCCCAGCAGCTGTCTGGGAGAGAGCTTGGCTGTGGCGGCAGCGGGCTGCTTCCCGCCTGGGCTTGGCTTCCAGGACAGCAGCTGACTGAGTCGGAGCCCCCAACCGACCTCCCCCGCATGCTCTGTGCACAGCAGTAGCTAGCTATGAGAGAGCCTGGCTGGGGAGAGGGCAACGGCAGTCCACTGTTTGCCCAAGCTCGACTTCTGGGGACAGGAGCCGACTGTGAGCATGCCAGAGGGGTTGGAAGGTTCCGGCTTGCTGGGCCACTGTCCCCAGAAGCTGCGCCTGGGTGGGGGCAGCCAGTTGCTGCCGCAGCCAGGCACTCTCCCAGTCAGCCACTGCACTGCACTGGGCAGCATCCCAGGCAGCGTGGCTGAACGAGTCTCTGGCCCCACCTCTCCCCACCCAAGCCGGCTGCTGGAGGGACACTTGACCCATGCCCCTCCCATGAGTCACCTCACCCTGTTTGGCTTGAACAGAAATCAGTAACTGAGGTAAACCTAAGATACCGATCAGTGCAGTGGGAGTTAACATTCAGAATGTGAACAGAAGACTGCAAACACAGAGTTCCTTGAACCTAACAGATTCCAGGAAGGAAAGTGACATCCTGAAAAAGTAACAACTGGTATAAAAATTGGTGTATTGCAAGCTTTGAGACAGATCATGTGTAGTGTACCTATTTATGAATGAAGATCATAGGAGCTGGTTTCCACATTGGAGGAAAAGGTAAAGAAGCTTGAATGGTAGCTGAAATCTCAGAGTGCTAAATTACAGAGACCAAAGGGAACAATTGTCAGGGAAGCTGGATGAGACGCCACACAAGAGATGGAAAATGAAAAAGGACTGACGGTAGGATGAGATATTAAGGAATACTAGAAACTGTAGGAAGAACAGAACGGATATGTGCATATACAGATAGATATAAATACCAGAGAGAGAGAGAGAGAGAGAGAGCAAGCAAGCAAGCAAGCAGTCAGGTGGTGTGGCATAGCAGGCCATTATACAGAGAACTCATCTCTTCTGTACGGGCCTAAAATGCTTTAGGAGTCCCAGCATGTAATAAAAAGAATGAAGGGCTGGGTGTAATATCCACATTGTACAATTATTTTATGGTTCAAATCAGCTCATTTTAAATTCAGCCCAGTCAGAAGACACCAAAGCCTCCAACCCACTCCAGCGCATCCACCTTTTCTCTCTGTTTGCCAATGAGTCATGTCAGGAGTATTGGATAGGCTGAGTAGAATGTCTACAAGGCTAAGACACCCAACGGATTGCTTCCAAGCAAAAGGAAAAAGTGAGCAGGAACCCAGAATTGTGCATTAGCAATCTTTAAGATCAAATTTCCAGTGGGCTCTGAAAATGTACCCATATAGTTACATGAACATCCCCAACACATATGAACAACCAGGCAGAAGCTTCATTACCCATTTGGTGTGTATCAGTGATGTACCTAATACTAATGCAGGGGCATTTTCAGAGGCACACTGAAAGTTTGGCCCTAAGTATCTATTTATGGTTTAATATTTGTAGGCTGACATACTTTTAACAGCACAAAATATTCCAAAATATATCAGTACACCTCCTTCAAAAGTTCCTACATCACTCTATCTCTTTAAGGCCCTTTCTCTGTTCAGTTCCTATTGTTTCACACAGCGGAGTTATTGAGGTAGGGTGTATGTACCTTCCTGAAATTGCATCATCTTATTGCAGAATACAGTTACTCTGATCATATTATTCTTAAGCAGTTTACTTTGATCTGAACAAGTGGTTTCATAACAGCAATCGCACTACAGGGTCTCTGTGAAAGCTTCCCTTGAAGTGCTAAGATAAATTCCCTCTTATGAAGATTTTGCTTTTATTTTCAGTTAGTTTCTCCCTGTCAGTAATGAAAGAAGTAAATTGTTCATTAGAGAAGTACCCTCAACAGTGAATTAGTAAGCATAAGAACAGAACAAGAAAAAACATGCATGGTCAAATAGTTATCTCTTTGCCCTGAAATGTTACCAGAGGGCTGAGATGGCAGAGGATCTTATTATAGCCCATAGCTGTCATAGATGTGAGAGATAAGCAGAGGGTGCTAAGAAGCAGAACTAGACCAATTTACATGGGGTACACTGTACATACTGTGCTAAGAGTTAGTGAGGAAAACAGAACTCTAGAGTTTCATAATACATTCCATTTCTGCATATGAAAATTCAAGTATCGCTAAATAGAGAAATACATCATAAACATTGCATTCCATTTCCTGAAATCCTTTCCTGTTCATGTTCAATATTTTCTACCAAGATCCTTCTAAAACTTGAGAAGTCCTAAAATTTACCTTGCTTAGACTTTTTCCTTTTATGACGTATCACAAAGAAAATGATCAGCAGAATTAGTAGGACTAGTATCACCACAGGAATGCCAAACATTAAGGCAGGCTGTACATCTGCCATTTCTGGGGTGTTGTCATTATTCATATCATTTAACCCAGTACTTGCATTATTTCCTGTTTCAACATTTATCTCAATCTCTGTTGGTTTGATGGCAGGTTTCAGATCATGGTCACCTGCAGTTGTAAAATATTCTGCAGATGTCTCTGGTCTAGGTGTTACTTTGATATTCAATGCTGGTGAACCATCTCCTGAAGCTTCTTCATTTGCAGTGCCTGCCAAATATAGGTAAACATCTTAAGGTTTTCACTTTTTAATTGGATAATCAAAATAGATAGTGAGTCAAAGCATATGGTTTTAAAATTTCTTCTTCATTTCTCCTGTACCCATCCTGGTTTGTTTGTTTTTTTTAAACCACACTTGAATGTCTGCAGACTGACTGATCACAGTGATGGGCGCTTCATACATAACCACATTACCCTTGCCAATTTGTCAAGAAAACGTATAATACAGACAAAATTCTGCTAGCTTGCTCTTCTTATAAACAGTAACATGTGTAACCCCATTCCCAGACAACCACATCCACCCGCTTGCTCTTGCGCAATATAAATTCTCTCACACACCGCACAACCCCACCACACTGGCAGCCATTCCTCTTTTCTCCTGATTGAGTCCTAGACTCATCCTCCACCCACTCAATCAGCTTGGCTCACCCCGTTATCTCTGACTCATCAAATCTCTCCTCTGCCCTCCATAAAATTCACCATTTTCTCTGTTTCTCCATTGTTTTCTCCCCAGAGTCTCTCAACTGGCTTGGGGCAGGGAGAGGGAGGAGAAGGGGGCCGGAATAGGTCTGGCCCAGGAGAAGGCAAAGCCCATAGAAACTGCTGACTTTCACTCATCCTCCCCGTGGACTCTGCACTGGAAGAGCCAAGAACATGGAGAATTTAGTAGACACAACTGCAGTTCCTCCATCTCCACCTACAATGAGGCAGTGAGTAGAGCTCCTCCTTCAGCCAGGCAGTATAGCACAAGTAGCAGCTAACGAGTTGGCTACCCTCATTTCAAATGTAATTGGGGTGGAGTTTTTTGTTTGTTTGTTCAAGTAAATGGGGCTACAGTTGATAACATCGATCACTGTGATATGGGAAAACTTTCTGCCTGCGTTGGGTGAGCAGGATTATTCAAGGCTGCCTCAGATAGATTTTATTAACCGTTGTGGTGTTTAACACTCGAACAACTACAACAAGTTGTGGGCCCTATTGTGAGGCAAAACCTCCTGTTGATGTAAATGGAAGCTTTTGCCTGAGTGAAGGGTGCAGGAATGAGTCCTTTGTACATTTCCATGTATCAAGTCTTAAATAACTCTCAGCCTAAAATGAGCTGAAGTTGTGACCGCTCAGTGTTGTCTGCTATTTTAGATAGTGCCCTGTGTTCTGTGGCTTTCATTGTACTGAATATATGAGGGTAAGACTGTCTGGCTGTTTTAATAACATATTGGATCTGATTCTGTGATGTGCTAAACATCTTCCTACAAGGTGCTGATCCTCCTCAGCTTCCATTTAAGTAAATGAGAGCTAAAGATTCTCAGCCCCATGCTGGAGGCACTCAGGACCTTCACTGGACTGGGACCAATAGTATTTTACACGTTAATTGCTTCGTAAGCACATAAATCCTCATCCATCCTGTGAGAGGAGCAATTATATCAATTATACAAACGAGGAAATAAAGGGAGACAAGTGAAGTGGGTTGCCCAGGGGACACATAGTGAGTCAGTGAGAAAACCGGAATTAGAACTCGAGATCCCTATCTCATGCTTAATCCACTGGACCACATTGCTTCTCCTTACTGCTAGATCTTTGGAAGGAGATAAGTGTCTCTTGAGGCTGTATCCTAGGGAACAAGATTTTAAATTATTAAAATAATCTGAGTTTATTGTATTAAGTTATTGTAGTGATGATTTATCTATCTAGGTATTTATGCCATACTCATCATCTGAGTGCCTATTCATTTTATCCTTTACTAAAAATTATCATCAAAAAATGTTTAATATTAAAAAATAAATCATCAGACTACTTCATTCAAAACATAGCAACAACTTTTAACTGATCTCCTTCAAAGCATTTTACAAAACATTAATTAGTAAAACTTAACTTCTTTATTTACTATTTCCCATCTTCATTCAACAACAAAACAGAATCTCTGCCTCTTTGGTAGGTAATACCCTTCATGTGACCTCTTACATGTATCCTCTTATTTTTGCATGCATTGATAACCCATTATATTCTTGGTTCTGCTTAAACCCTATCAAGAGGATCCACTGGCACAGGAGTTACTGTACTGCACTTCTATTCCTTGCAACCTGGTTCTTCCACATTCTTCTTCCCAGAAATTGTTTCTAGTCACCACCAGCGTTTGCAGCAATTCCATTTGACAGTTAACATCATCATCTAGTCATGATGGGCCAACGCACCAGTATAGACATGTGTGTTGCAGACGCCTGCATGGCTAATCATAATACTGACATAACAGATAAACCAACTCAGTGTCACAGAACCATTTATCCACATTTGCTTAATTATCCCTCCTCTTATCATTCTTCTCTTGAAATCTGTCAGCTTCCTCTGCTTAACATACCGATAGCAACAAGGCCACTGCTAAAAATAGTACAAATGGGAAAGCGGGGGGAATAGTTTAGGTTTCTGTTATTTCCAGAGCAAATACTTTATAAAAGCTTTTCAAACGTCTGAAGCATGATGTACACTTGAAAGCAAGAACAAATAGTAACATCTCATTAACCACAATCCTAAACTTTCAGCTGGAATATATTTTTCATTTGATGTTCCAGAGAGACTGTTCCAATGTCTCTTCTGTTCTTTATTTGCCATGTTCAAGCTATAAAGCAGATTTCAGATCACTTGTCTCTCTATTAAATAAAATTCCCCTTTCCAGTCTCCAGCCAAAGATAATTTCAGATAACAGAGGGTGACCTTGTTAACATGTATATTTGTTCACTTCCCATAATTCCAAAGACAAAACAGCATCTAGCCCCACTTTCTTTTTCCTAAGTGATTTAATTTGGGAGAATTAAACACATCCTTCAGCAGTTCAGTAGCCAGTTATACAATGCTGCTTCCAGCATATTGTTGTTACCTCCTGTGTTTTAACTGCTGCATTTAGAAATTATGTTTTAACTGCCGCCAGGATTTAAAGCATGACTGAGGTCTCAAGTGATAGATGATGACAGTGATGACCTCACTGGTCAACATCATACAGTCACTGCATAGTGTAGCATAGCTCCACCCAGTGGGAGGAGGAGTTACAGATCAGAGTTGAAATGCACTGGTGGCACTAAGCATGGGAGCTATCACAGAACATGCCTTCATTTTTTGGGACTCAAATGAGTGCTTTTAGTCCCTTTCTTTGGGACAGATTCTGACAGCCTGACTCTCAGCGAGTAGCACCTTAATCCACAAATAGTAATGTGACTCCTCACAGAATACGATATTACAGAGCATGAGTAAGAGTATCAGGATTGGACCCTTTATAATTGATTAAGATTCAACAGCCGCTCAAAAGTTGCTTTAAATTTCACAATAGGGCTTTTATCACAACTGGTTGTGCTAGCGAATAAATGAAGTTGTTCATTCAAATTTTGAAAAGGAGAAGCAGTATCGTTTGCAGACATGTACACTACAGCATACACTCTTGCTTAGCATCTTCTCCTCTTTAAAGCAGCTGGTGAGAAACTGGTGAATCTTGCTTGACTTTTTCTCTTGACTGGCCGTACAGACTAGACCACATTTCTCTACACAACAAAAGCAAGAATGATATTTTTGTTGCCACATCTGAACACAATGCTTGCTGCATTTCCTGCTCTGAGTGGTTTGCCTTCTTGATGAAGTAGGCAGGTAAACAAGATTTCTCTTTTTAATTTGAAGGGGAGGACAAAACAAAAACCATGCAATCAGCTTCCTCTTTCTAAAGAATATAAATACATCCTATTATAAAATTGCCAGAGCAGACCTAGATTGTTCTGATAAAACAAGTCCCTGGAGGGGAATGTTTTAAAATTACATCTTTGTACCTAAGCACAAAATAAAAGGAAAAAAATAAAAGATTTCAATTGATGGAATAATCAGGTTTTTTTTTTAAGGGAATTTTGGTTTCTCCAAACTTTGCTATAAAATACAAATAGTCCATGTGAAAAAATACTCAATTTAAGGCTAAAAAAACAGAGTTAAAATACTATATATACTGAAAAAAACATTTGTGCAAACTGGAGAGCCCCATAACTGTGTTTGTTAATACACCCTATACTCATAACATTCTTTTAAAAATTTCTCCAGGTGGCATTATTTATGGAGTACAGGCAGGATTTTTGTTTTCCATTGGACTTTTTAATTAACAAACAGTGGAAAGGGGTGGGGGGCCTTCAGTTTGCCCAAGTGTTTCTTTCTACCTAATAACTTTTCTCTACATCATTTCAACTCTCTTTTATCTGATTTCATGTAACTGTTGATCTAGGGAGTGTTGCTCCTTGAAATGGGCAAGGCTTGCCCAGGTAACATGTTGAAACATGCCTCAGATATGATATGTAGGAATCCTTAAAACAACTGAAGACCAGCTTGATTAATAGATATGCTGTCCTAGAGGGGTAAAACAGCCACATGTTTGTGGGGGTAAATCAATAGAAAAGATCCTGTAGAAAATGGGTGCTTACAAAAAGTCTTGTCCAGATAGGTGTGAACCAGGAGGGAAATATACTTAAGTTTATTTCTAGATGATGGAACAACTTCATCCCTGGTATAGACAGCTTAACTGACATTTCTACTGCCCGTCCTGCAAATTCAGACCAGCATCTAGGAGTCAAGCTGGGATCATTCATCATCAACAGTAATAAAGGTTCTGCAGACCAAATTATGCACTTAGTCACACCTGTTTAACCTTTCAGTTTTGCCTCAATGACATCTTGTGCAATTCCATTGCATTCACGAATTTGTGATGTGAATCTTCTCACCTTAAGGTATCACTCAAGAGGACCTCTGTGTTTAAGACCAAATGAGCTGAAGCCTTTATCATACCAGCAATTATAAGATACCTTCACGAACAGTGCACAGGGGTCACTGACTAGAATTTGATATACAATTTAACTGATGTGTAAGAAGGATTCTCTTTCTCTGAGATTGCTCTCTAGTGCATGAGTGAACAGCAGTAACAACTTGTTTGTGAATCAAATGGGAATATCTGGCTGAATACACTCAAAGAGTTAATC